AGGAAGGAAAGAAGGAAGGAAGGAAGGAAAGCAGGACGGGAACTTGTCTGTGAGGAGGAGATGGACGTGCTGGGAAAATAAGGACATAACCAACAGCAACCCTCTCCCCTGCCCTTAAAAAAATTAATTAAAAAATAAAACATTTCACACGGATATACTTTGTCTCGCCGTTTCAATGCGTTTTTCTGACATTTATTTCGTGTCTTGGCGTGCTGAAGGTGCCTCTTTGTCACTAGCTTGCTGATGGGGGATTATTTTTGCTTTATTTCTCTTTTTTTTTTTTTTTTAATATCTGGGGCATTTGCAGTGCATTACAGTACAAGGAGCATCGGCATTTCTGTAGGACAAAGGGAACTTAAAAATCCTGTGTGCCTCCATTAATGCTTCAGACCATTAAATACAAGCAGTTGCCTTCCACATTATCTCACTATATCCCTTTTTATTATTCCAGCCCTTTTTATCTACCCGATGCTCAGTTATTTTTTTTTCCTCTCAACTTTCTGTTTTGATGCAGTCAGCATTTTTCCTGTTTTTACGGTAATTTCCTTGGAATAAACCGCAAATTTGTTTCAAGCGTTTAAAGGTGTGCAAAAAATCATGACCATAAACAACAAAACAAAAAAAAAAAAAATCAGCTTTTTTGGTGGAACAGGAGTCCCAGCAGTAGCCCACTAACTATTTGGCTCTTGCTGTCCAAGCAAGATCAAGTTAACCTATGAAATAAATAAGTTTTAGCTCTAGATGGTGTTAATTGGGCAGCTTGCCATTTTCTGTGCCCCTGAATTTGTCTGGTACTTTCCAGGTGGTGTTTGTACACCCTTCCACCCCACCCCCTCTTTCTTTTTTTGGTGGTTAATTTCTGGACACTGTTGCCAGGCAGGAGATAAAAAGGAAGCTGAATTACTAAATTTAATCTTACACGGTAGACTTCGTGCAGATAGCTTAATGCTGTTAAAGAGCCATCTCTTATTATATTTTAACTAGGAATCACAGTGGAAAACATGATTCCCATTACCAATCTTACAGGCAGGCCTTGAAATGGCAGCAGTTGTGACTGTGTCAGTGTTCAGAGGCAGGATTATATATTAAAGCAAATTAACCTCTGCTTCTCTGTCAGTCTTGCCTAACCTGTAGGTAAAATTCATCCCCGCGTCCACGAGTTAATATAAATGGGCCAGAACCCCTTGTTTCTGGAATACCCTGTTCTGAAGTGCTATAATGAGTGTTTAAATCCTCTTTATTCTGGAAGAGAAGCCTGTATAATGTATAAAATCTGTGCAGGTGGAATAGCATATTGTGTTGGTTTTTTTTTTCCCCCCTCTTAGGTGATGACAATTCAGAAGAAGGCCTTCACACCATCCATTCAGGAAGGCACGAATATGCATTCAGCTTTGAGCTTCCACAGACGTAAGTACCCACACCACAGTCCTTGGGCTCTGCTGCCCATCTCCTTGAGCTAAAAAAAAAAAAACTCCTGCTGTGGGTGGAGGGGAAACCTTTTCAATGGTAGTAGGAATTGTGCTCTGACATGCAGCGGAGGCCATAATCTCATTAAACTGAAGAGGTTGCTTTTAAACTGATACACACTTGTGTTTGGTTTGGTTTGTTGTTTTTTTTTTTCTTTAATTCCCACAAAAGGGGAGCTTGTTGCTGCCCCGTTGCTCACTTTCTTGTGACCAAGTCCTTCTGAATTATTAGATCTTACAACATTTGAACCCTTCTCATGAGGAGGGAGGGGGATTTGTAACAGTCACTGGAGTACTGCAGAGTGGCTGAGATACCTTCTAACCCAACCAGCAGTTTACTGGAGCCATGCAGACCAGCAGAACTACAGATAAGATCACAGATGAATTCTTTGGGCTCAGTCTGGAACAGATGTGGCAAGTTTAACTACATTTGAACAAGAGGAGGGTTTTTTTTTGTTTGTTTAAGTAGGATTTATGTACCCAAGCTGGTCTTTATGCAGAAAGCCTGGATGGAAATAAGAAGGATGGGTGGATGAAGAAAGAAAAACTCCTGAGCAAGCTCAAGTTGAAGCAAGAGTGAGAGCAGAAGTGTTAAGATGAAGATGCTTCTCCCACCCTCAAGTCTAAAATAAATAATGTAGGCATTGTGAATGGAAGACTTGTACATAGAGGCATTAACAATATGGAAGACTTGTACATAGTGGAGTTAACAATATGGAAGTTATCTAAAAATACAAGTTGCAATAAAATTAAATACACAGGAACAGAGGGAGTCTCAACGTGGATGGAAAAAGGTGTCTTTTGCTGTAAAAGGCAAGCAGTGAAATCATTAAGGTTGAAGAAATCGGCGGTGTTACATGAAGTAGCTCAGTACCTAATATTAAAGCCAATAAACCATCTGTTTATTAGAGGTGCTGGCTTTAGCTGCAAATGATAAACACTTTTATGTGTCAGTTTCAAAGTGAACAGCACAGGATTTTACAATCAATCTTATTGGAACAGCGGAGGAGCCCTGTGTACATGGAGATAATTTTAAAGTCAATCCAGTGTTCTGTGAAAATCTCAACTACAAAAAGAAGGAAGGCTGACACTGATCTTCCCTTGAGTTCCCTTGAGTTGGAAGGGGCATTTAAATATGAAAAACAAAACATTATACACGAACTTTAAATGCTTAGCTTGAAGTGAAGCAGGTAGCCAGCAAAATATCATAAGCATTGGTCAAAACACAGATTCTTTTTAGGTGACCTGAAGTAATAATTTATGAAACCAGCTGTTGATAGTACTAAAAAAAACAAAAGCTGGTACTAAAAGCCTGAAGTTTGGTACTGCCTACTTATTTGTTGTTTTGTGTCCATAGAATACTTACGAAATTTACTTAAACTACAGAGCAATGGTGGAAAGAAAGAACATGGACACTGGCCTTACTGATTTTTTTTTTTATGTTGAAGAATATGGAGCAGGATGAAACAGATGAGAAAATCCTTTCACTTAGATGATTAGCAAAAAAAAAAAAAAATTCAGATGTGCCGTAGAGAAGTCAAACCTGTAACTGAAATAATCATTCTAGTAAAGTACTAGCGTGGCTAGTACTACTCCCTGTGGGAAATAACAGAAGCTTTATGAAGAAGTAATTTATGTTTAATTCCTATATTACAATGTACTTGAAACACAGTAGAAGATAAAAAAATAATGCACAAAAATAAGTTATTTAAAAATATTGTTAATCAGAAATAACTGGAATATAAAGATCTTTTGTCTTTCATTTTATGATGGTACAGGGGGAAAAAAAAAGGTGATGCTGAAAGGTTGGGAGATCCTTTCCACATCGTTCTTCCTCCAGCTCCCAAAAAGGACTTTTTTCATCTGTCAAAGTTCAGAGCAGAATAGACTTGATGATTCTATGCATATATATATATGTACATCATATATAATATAAATGCTTTAAGCTGGTCTCATCAGTGTAGAGGAAAATTAGAAGGTACTCAAAATAGCCTCTCTCTTCAGAACTCTTAAATTGAAGTATTTACTCTGCTTAAGGCAAAGCAAAACTACAAAAGTGCTGAGTTGCATCTAAAATTAACCCAATACTGAGGGTACCAGCCAAGTAAACAATAGACAATGATTTTACAGAATACAAAACAGTCATTGGTTGATTCTAATGGCAATTTTGAGTTGGTATCCTTAATTTGGCCTTCAAAGGGCATGCTTTAGAGATGAAAGTGGCCTCTTAAGTTTAAAGGAAATGTGTGCTCTCCTGGCATTTTCTGGTACAATTCTTTAATTGATGGTTAAAATTTGTGTAAAACTATAGTAGGATGAATTGGAGATGATTTTTTCTCCCATTTTTAATCTTTAATTTCTTCGGAGATACGGAAACTTTGCAAATAAGTTACGCTACATTAAATACTACAATGCATTAAAGAAAAAAAAGATGCATTTCCACATATTTAATTCTTGATCTGATCAGTTGTATCATTATTAGACAGAAGGACTTTACTCAATTTTGACCTTTGTGTCCTGCACAGACCACTTGCTACCTCATTCGAAGGCAGACATGGCAGTGTGCGCTATTGGGTGAAAGCCGAATTGCATAGGCCTTGGTTTCTACCAGTAAAATTAAAGAAGGAATTTACAGTCTTTGAACATATAGATATCAACACTCCTTCATTACTGGTAAGAATTGACAGAATTACTCATTCTTTGTTTCTGACATAAAAAAAAAAAAAATATAATGAAGTATGATAGCTGAAACAATATCCACATCTAATTTTACTTAATATTTATTCACTAGTTTATTTTAGAGCTGATATTCTTAAGTATTACGTTCATTTCAGCAACTCTGTAACTACTGGTATTTTGAAAGCTATGTTTTCCTGTGCTTGGAGTTGCTTCATTCTTAAGATACTGTAAAATGGCTTTGTCAATTTAAATTGATTAAATTTTAAAAGTTGCTAATAAAGAAAATTTCGAGAACTGTTCCTCTTTGCTTTTGAGTAAAAAATAATCTGTGGAAGGAACAGTGAAACTTAATATTACAGTGAACTTACTAAGCTAACTTAAAAATGCAAAGTAAAAAAAAAAAAATGTACTGGCGTGCATAATTTGATAATTTCCATATGGATAGTTTTCTACCAATGGGGAGAAATTATCACAATTCTGTATAATCTTTTTCTGAAATGTCATTTCATTAAAGTAACTTCAATATTACAACTGCTTTCAATGAGGATTTGATTTCAATCTGGTCTAAAATTCCTTTTCTTCCCCCCCCCCCCATGGCCGTTCCTCAAATGCTAATGTATGGAGGAAGGGGGGAGAAAAAAACAAACCTCAAACTCAAAGTCCATTGAAATAGGTTTCTTGTGTGTATGGGTGAAAAATCAGACTTGCAAAGGGACACTGGCCTTGCACAAACTCCATTAAAATCAAAGGACTCCCATTTGACTTTAATGGGCTTTGGATCAAGTCCTAAATCCTGATACTGTATAAAATAACAAAGTCCGTTTTAATAGAGATGAAACGGGACCGTTCCGAAACAGAGGAAATAGCAGGAGTCAAGGTTACAGTGCTTCAGTTATTGTTTCTGAAATACAGTCTACTGGAAAAATGTTTTAGTTTACTGATAAATTAAAAGCTCTGCCCAACAATATGTTGGGATATGTAGGCTCTAAAGCCTTTTCTTAAATGACACAGTATTTCTGTATAAGAACTGTTTTTAAGTGTGACTGTAGTATGAAGTGAGTAATGGAATTAGAATAAACCTTACATCTGCATAGTGCTATTTAAATTGCTCGGTGGTTTTTTTTCTCTAAATAAAACTAGCTATGTTTATCAAAATATGTAACAATAAGTACATTATGAACGTGATTTTTTTTTTGTGTTGATTAAAGTAGATGAAGAGATTAGTGGAACTCTTAATTAAATGGGCAATGTTATTCTTTTCTTACAGTCACCTCAAGCAGGCACAAAAGAAAAGACTCTCTGTTGTTGGTTTTGTACCTCAGGCCCAATATCCTTAAGTGCCAAAATTGAAAGGAAGGGCTACACCCCAGGTACGTAACAGAAGTAATTATAGGAAATGTTTTTCCTTCCGTTTTAAAGTGTCTGTGTACTTGCTGCTTTTATATAAATGAAACTTTTAAACTGTCCTTATCACCTCAGTCTGCATTCTGCAATCTTTTCTATATTTTCTTAACTAGGACTAATTTTGTAACTAATGCTGTGTCTCCATCTTGCCAAAGGACACCTGCTTCTATTCGACCTGTGCGTTCTTCTTTTAGATTAGCTTGTAGTGATAACTAATGCTGTGTCTCCATCTTGCCAAAGGGGACACCTGCTTCTATTAGACCTTTTTCTTTTAGATTAGCTTGTAGTGATCCTATTCCTGTTGGCATCAGTAGATGTTTTTCCAAGTAGAGCATTGCTAGCAGTGTCCAGTGCATTATAACAGTACACAGAACATTGTGATGTGCTTAAGCTGCTTTGTAAATGTAAAGAGAACATGAAATTCCCTTTTGTTTCAGGTGAATCAATTCAGATCTTTGCTGAGATTGAGAACTGCTCTTCCCGTGCGGTGGTGCCAAAGGCAGCCATTTACCAAACACAGGCATTTTATGCCAAAGGGAAAATGAAGGAAGTCAAACAGCTTGTTGCCAACCTACGTGGGGATTCCTTGTCATCTGGCAAAACAGAAACCTGGAATGGCAAACAGTTGAAAATTCCACCTGTTTCCCCTTCCATCCTTGACTGTAGTATAATCCGTGTGGAGTATTCACTGATGGTACGTACGTTGGATGGTCTGTTTCACTTAGCAGGAGTAGTTTTTCCATTGTTTCTTGCAAATTGCTAACAAAGCGTTCTATGATTAACTAGTTAGAAAAGAAATACAAATCCTAGTATTAATGTCCTGATGGGAGTTCTGTAAATAAATTCAGTTTAAATCATCCATGTTTTAAAACAGTTGTGTTGGCCAGCTAGGTGACATTTCCACGTGAGGGCTCATGTTAAGAATCCTGAGCTTCTTTTGACTTGGGGAGCTTTTTGTCTCCATAGGGGCATTGGCCCTAAAATAGACAGTAAGAAACTCAAGTTGCTCCTGGGAAATTCCATGGAGAGACAGCTTAGTCTAATAATTAATTATAAAGTACTTCTATGCACCTGCACTTTAATCATACACCTCTTGTGTTGTTTTTGTTTGTCAGGTATATGTTGATATCCCGGGCGCCATGGATTTATTCCTCAACTTACCACTGGTCATTGGTACCATTCCTCTACACTCATTTGGTAGCAGAACATCAAGTGTGAGCAGCCAGTGTAGCATGAACATGAATTGGCTCGGTCTGACACTGCCTGAAAGACCAGAAGGTAATTTGACAGTACAAATCCTGATCAATTTGCTCGTCTGTTTTGCTTTTTGTCTGCTTCATTCGTTGCTGTTGTACAAACAAGAGCCAAATTACATCCTTCATAATAAAGCCCACGGGAAATTCCCTTGTGGATGTTTCCTTGCCACCTGCTTGTCTTCTGTAGAGCGACAGAGTTTCTTAATCTCTCAGGGACAAGCAGTGAAATCCAGCTACTTGAAAGCTGTCACAAGTGAAAGCACGGGATGCCAGTGTACCTGGGCAGAATTAATTCTGGCTCCATTATCCCAGTTGCATCCTCGGTTATAAGGTGTTGTAACCTGTCATAATAGTAGTTTATGGTGACCTTTACCAGCCTTAGTAGCCAAATCTTTGTTAGAAGATAGTGTAATTAATTTCAGTGGGAAATTTCTGTTACACAAGGAGAAACTCCATGTCTCCTTCCCTCTGTTTGCATGTGTCTAATAAATATTGCTTTTTTGTGTTCAAATCCCAGACTTGGGTTTCTGGAGTCAAAAGGAATGCAGTGCTTTATGGTTCCTGCCTGTACAGAGATTCAGTATTCTGAGTATGCTTTAAATTTAAGGGGATAATTAAGCCACAATAAGCAGTGGTCACCCTGCTCTTCAGTTTGAGCATTATCTTAAAATAGAACAGCCTACTCTCTCTTTGATGTTCAACAACTGGTTTTTGTTTGTTTTTTTTTTTTTTTTAAAAAGTCTCTGAAGTCATTTACTTAACCTGCTGGTACATTTTACAATGATAAAAGTTTAATATTTATCATGTTATATATTTTGACATGCATAAGAACTTGTTGTTCGAACTGCGTGTACCTTTTCCTGCAGCACCTCCTAGCTATGCAGAAGTGGTCACAGAGGAACAAAGACAGTCCAGCCTTGCACCCATGGGTGCTTGTGATGACTTTGAGAGAGCGCTTCCAGGACCATTGTTTGCATACATCCAGGAGTTCCGTTTTCTGCCTCCACCCCTCTATTCAGAAGTAGGTACCTCAGAGAGAATAAGATGATTGATTCAGTGGGGTTTTGGGGTTTTTTTTTTAATTAATTAATTCTGTGGAATAAATGTAGGAAGTTGTTTCTCCCTAAAATCAGGAGAAACAGTGAAAATGACAAATGGGATAAGGTGACTTCTTATTAGCAAAGCACGGGTGAACTGCATCAGGAGTTTTCAGGATTATTCAAAATTCTGATGCTTTCCAGAGATTTCCAACTCTTGTGTACCCTCTTAGCAACTTCATTAAAACCTTATTATATAATAATATATAATACGGTTTTGTACACTTAAATATAAGTATATAATATATAATACACTTGTATATAATATATAATACACTTGTATATAATATATAATACACTTGTATATAATATATAATACACTTGTATATAATATATAATACATTGCATTCATGAACACCAGCATTTTGGGTCTATAGATGCACAATGTGCTAATGTTTTTTCAGTCCTACTTTTTTTCCAAAATTATTCAGGAAAAGGAGTATAGGACAAAAGTAAAACAGTGTCTTTTGAATAAATCTTGACAGAATTCTCCCACAGTTGATTTTTTTTCCTTTTTTTCCCTCTCTTGAAACACTGAACTGCTATTGAGTCACATGTTTTTTGTGTGCTGGTGACTTCTCTGAGGACTTTTCTATAACTTAACTATAGAACACAAATCTTAAGCCCTTTTCATTTTCCATACTTAAGGATTTAAAGAAGCCTTTTTTGTCCTTAAAAAATGGTTGTATTAAAAACTCATAAGAATGTTGCCTAAGATATGTACTAATAATTAAACTATTTGTACTACCCACTTTTGGGAAGACCTAAGTTAGCAAGGTGTTCCCCCTCTCCTTTTTTAGAAAGGAAGAAGAGGCAAGGTGTGGAACACACAAACTTCTAAGACATTTTATGGCATGTTTAAGGATTAATGGCCTGTAAATTAAAAGTAGAATGACTTTTTACTCTTAATTCTGTCTTTTTTGAAGCAAAATACCTGAAATCAAATATTGTTAAGTTACTTTTTTTGTGATGAGTCAAGTTGTTTTTTTAGTGTACAGTAAATAATTCAAAAGATGTCTGTGCTACTAAAGCTGTTTTTTTAAGTTGTTGTTAGCTCTTTGTGTTCATGCTTAAATTACCATCAGCCTGTAGTTTAAAATTTTCTGCTAGCTTATTAACTTTTAATTCAAACTTTTGTCTAATTGACTAGAGGTTTTTCAGTTATTTGAATAACCTTTGGATTGGGAATTCCTTTTATTGCTACGATTGTCTTAAATTTGTGTGAGTTTTAGCAGGGTTTGGTTTGGACTGGTTTCTTTCTAGCAACTGACTCTAAAAATACCTTGGGTTGTTTTTTTTTGTTTTGTTTTTTTTTCTTGTTCTTTTGTTTAGATTGATCCAAACCCAGATCAGCCCACGGATGACAGACCATCTTGCCCCTCTCGTTGAAGGAATCCATGAAGAGCTGACTCGACTTGGGTTTTGAATCGTACCTGACATGTTGAAGGTCAAGGCGTCACATAGTGGAGACACACTTTGAAAGGAAGTGGTTTTGCTCTTGCCTGTACGGTGAATAAATGAAAACAACCTGTGATCATGCTTTGAAGCCTACAGTTAAACATTGTAGGACTGCTCCACATGCTTGAAGACCTGAGCTTCCCCCCCTGCCCTTCCCCTTTAAATACTGGCACATAACTAGGAGCAGCCTTACTAACCTACGGTCATGTGTGTCAAAACACTCAAAACCATCTTGTAAGAGAGGGGATGGCTTCCTCTTATGATTTGGGAATTTTGCACATGCTCATTGCTTACGTTGTGCGGTTCAGTGTCACTACAGCTTTTTTTTTCTCATTTATGCCGGACTGTTATTACCCCCTCCCTTCTTACTTGTTTGAGGTCCGCACAATAAAGAGCAAAAGAAAGCTTTGACAAAAAAAAAAAAACCAACAAAACAACCAACAGCAACAGACTTTGACAAATGCACTGACTTTTCTTTTTTTTTTTCTTTTTTTTTCTTTTTTTTTAATTTAATGTAGCCTGGACTTTTACCTGCATATGCACATGCTCAGAATTGTTCTAGTAGGCTGATCATGTTATCACCTCTTCAGCTTGGATCCTGTTGTGGATTTATTTACAAACATCAAATGCCTTCAAGCCAGTCCTTCTTGCTGTATGTTTTTTGCAGCCTACTGTAGTAGATAAGCAACAGATGTGGGGCTGGGGGTGGGAGGGGGATGGAGAGTTAATAGAAAGAAACTTAATAGACTTCATCGAGATTGTATACCTTCTTGATTTCTTTTCAGAATTTGTTGCCTTTCTACTATTATCGCAAAGCAGCATTTTGTTACAGACTGCCTAAAAAAAAAAAATCACTTAATCTCAGGTGAACTCATCACTTGCCAAACTGTTGGAATGCTATTTGTTTTGTTATGTTGCACTGTTGAGTTACTTCTCTTTTTTTTTTTTCTTTTTTCGTTTTGTGTTTGTATTTTGTTTTTTTGTTCTTTATTTAGAGAAGGGGGATCTGGACTAGGGACATACACAAAAGTTACAAAACCCACCCTCATTCCCATTTCTCTTTCTACGTTATTTAAAAAAAAAAAAAAAAAAATGTTGTGAAGCTTTAAAAAAATAAAAAAGGGCACAAATAAAAGCAGCACCAGCAGACACCAGCCTGACCACAAAATAATTTTAAAAGGAAATAGTCATATGCTGTCTAGGATTCATAGACAGATCCATATCTCAAGTAATACAGATGGGAAGGGAAAGTAATTTTATTTTTATATCTAGTTCACTAATCACCAAGAGCTCTACGTGTAATGAGTCTCTAGTAGAAAGTATATTTCAAAGCTTGGACTATGCTAAAAGCTCAGTTTGTGCACTTTGTTATTATCTTCAGGGTTTATGATACTGTTAAGACTAGAAAGATAATTAAACTGGGCAAGATCAGTGTTAACCAGCTGTACTCAGATATAAAATGACTTTGATTGCATCCTCTGTGGTATTCTCAAGAGCTTTAAAACAAACAGAACTGCGAATTTTTCTATAAACTCACTTACAATGCAACACACGCTGTGGAAAAAGGACTTGCCCTTGAGTGTACCCCAAGGAATAAGAGTGCAGTGAAACCATGAGATGGACTAACACAAATACCAGCACTTAAATACTAGAGATTTACCAAAAAAAAAAAAAAAAAATCAACTTTTCCTTCAGCAATCACCTAACAGAAACCGTGGACAAAGGGACACGCTTTTGCTGTTGACTACTTAAACAAATTGAGCTGCAGTCCACCGAGTTATCTATTTCCTTGTGCAATAAAGCAGCTCACAAGGGAGTGGGAAAAGGGGATGCTGGTGTTTCTGACTGGTGCTTGTTTTTAAAAAAAAAAAACAAAACAAAACAAAAACCTCTGCCTTGTTTTTAAGGCTTCATAAAATGGCGACAGAAGAAGAGGCTTTTCCATAAGTGGCCTTTATGAGAACATGAACCATAATTCATGTTTTTCGAAAATGACAACAGGGTGATAAAAACTATTTAAATGAGTCGCGTTTTAAGTGATTCAGTTAAAAGGCTTGGGCTTTTGAGCAAGAATATTGGACGAGAAGGAAATTGGGTGATGTCTTACGTTACTAGGCCAATTTTGTGAATGTCCCTTCCCTCTATACCCTTTCCAACCAGACAATTTAAAAAGCTGATGGGATCGTTGGCATAAAAAGGGCATTTGGTGGTTTTACTTTTTTTTTCCTGTTTTGTTACTTTTCAACAGACTAGGGAACAATTGCTGATATACATAGCATTAAAGTTACGTACCACGACATAATGGAAAATTACGTATTGAAGCAGGATTGACCAATATCGTAGTAACTGACGTGGCATCACGGCCTTTGTGATTGGAGTGAAAAATTCTTAATCACCTTATCAAATAAAAAAGACTTTTCTGTTGAAATTACGTTGTTAGTTTGTTCAGAGGCATTACTCTTCCACAAGTATTGGTCAATTCTCAGCATTATAAAACACAAGGTTCACAGTTGTAGCCCAGTATTTGATAGAAAATTCTGATCCGAATTAGGAAAAAGTAAGTAAAATCCAAACGTTAGAGAAACAAAAGTGCAATATTAAATGTTTGCTTTATAGATTATATTCTATGGCTGTTTGTACTTTTTTGTTTTGTTTTGTTTTTAGTTTTGGTGCTGAATATGTCCTTGTAGACTCTGTTTCAAGAAAACAATATGTGGAAAACAATTTAATTTTTTCCTATTGCTCTTCCTTGTGGAAAATAAACTTTTGTAAAAAAAAAAAAAGTTTTAAATGGTTTTGATGTAAGTCATAATATTTTATACATTAGCTAATTATTATTTTTTTAAGATGTCTATAAAATAATAACTGTGAGGATCACAGAGTACAGGAAATTATAGGAACACAGATACTACCTGTCTCAAACGAGATGGGAGGAAAAACTATTTCTAGAACTTTTCCACCAGGAAAATCTGCTTTCAGCACCCTCATCCCCTTTTATTTAGCTCAGTGAACTCGCAAGTGGGAAAGGAGAGTTTCCTCCATGGGGAAAGGCCAGTAACTGGCAGGACTCAACATGCCTTTCCAGGACACTTGTGTTCCTGTGTCACTGCAGCTCTGGTGACCCAAGTTCCAGGCGTCTGGTCCTTTCCATGACTTATGGCTGGGGAGCCCCGAGGGGGCAACAGGAGTTTTGGGGTGGATGGGATGAAATGAGGGAAGGTGAATGATTTCATACGCCTGGTTTGCAGCTGAGACTTGGGAATGTGGTTTGACGATGACGTGGGTTGGAGAAGGTGTCCTTTGCTGTTCCCTTAGAAGATCTAGTGTGAGCAGATGGGGAAAATGTCCACCTGTGGTCTGTGTCTTGCTCGGTGAAGCCCCTGCAAGGGGTTGGTAAAGCTCTTGAGCTCTGCCAGCAGCATCTCGCTTCCGCATACCATGCACAGCTGAACCTCTGACAAAACGGGATTGTCGTCATCCTTGGGTATCAACATGTCATTTGACCTAAGAGAA